AAGTCAACCTTGCGAGTGTGTCCACTTTCCATTGGAATACTGTGTAACTCCTAAGCTCCACTTGCTGCATTTACAATGACAAAGCCAGTTGTAGTGCCTGTTTGAAGTCTAGTTGGGTTTCAGCTAATAGGTCACGTTATTACTCCCACATCCAAATGGTCTCTAAGCATCTCACTTGGGAACAAACCAAGATCACATCCCTCTGCCGGTCATCTTAACCTAGGCAAAAATCCCAATATGGATTTCCCTCGTTCTCTAACTGTCGAGTAAAACCAGTAGTGTCTCAGAATTAAAGGAGGTTTGGGATTGTAATATTTCTTAGTTAAATCCGTCAACTCTTGGAAACATCTTAGTATCTGGTTGCCTCAGGAAAAGTTAGGCTCCTAATAACTGAAAAAGCTGCAGGTCCACACGCTGTCAGGAGTGTTACTTGTTGCTTTCTGTCTGCCCCAATGTCATTTGCCTGAAAAACTAACACATTCTTTTCGGATATTGGGCCCAGTCTTTTATGGCAGTATTGAACGTATCAAGCTCCCCAAATAGCGGCATGATGCCAGACGTACTTACCCCAGTTCAAAGACAACCATTGCAAGCAGTGTTCTTCAGGGGAGTGTTTTTCTCTCGTCAATACTGAAATAAGTCCCCGAGTCACCCTTTATTTGCACATGTATAGTACAAGACCCAGTGAGCTCAAAGCTGGCCCCTAGAGTGAACAGACTATGCTGAATGCATTGCCCTTATCTACACACCTGGTCACCTCTTTGAAAAGGTCAATCCGGTCGGTCAGGTATGACCTCTCCTGAAGAAAAGTCCATACTATTTGCCCGAATGGTTCCCAGGATGAACAAGCATAGTTATGGCTTAGTTAGCTTAGAAAAACTGAGATTGTTCTTCGTAGTGCAAAGGCAATTTGATCATTTGTTAGAGGCATGCAACAGACTTAGAAAAGGTAATCATAGAAAAATGCTGTCAGTCACAGATTAGAACGAGAATTATAGAATCCTTACTGTGTGGAGGCGGGCCATTTGGTCCATTAAGTCCACACCGATCCTTTGAAGAGCATCTCACCCAGACTGACCCCTCTACCCTAAACCCATAACCCTGCACTATCCATGACTAGAGAGATAACAAGGTGTAGAGCTGGATGAACCCAGCAGACCAAGCAGCATCAGAGGAGCAGGAAAGCTGACGTTTCGGGCCGAGACCCTTCTTCAGAAATGGGGGAGGGGAAGGTGGTTCTGAAATAAGTAGGCAGAGAGGGGGAGGCGGATAGAAGAGGGATAAAGGAGAAGATAGGTGGAGAGGAGACAGAGGTCAAAGAGGCAGGGGTGGAGCCAGTAAAGGTGAGTGTAGGTGGGGAGTTAGGGAGGGGATAGGTCAGTCCAGGGAGGACGGACAGGTCAAAGGGGCGGGATGAGGTTAGTAGGTAGGAGATGGGGGTGGGGCTTGAAGTGGGAGGAGGGGATAGGTGGGAGGAAGGACAGGTTAGGGAGGCGGGGATGAGCTGGGCTGGTTTTGGGATGCGGTAGGGGGAGGGGAGATTTTGAAGCTTGTGAAGTCCACATTGATACCATTGGGCTGCAGGGTTCCTAAGCGAAATATGAGGTGCTGTTCCTGCAACCTTCGGGTGGCATTGTTGCGGCACTGCAGGAGGCCCAGGATGGACATGTCGGCTAAGGAATGGGAGGGGGAGTTGAATGGTTTGCAACTGGGAGGTGCAGTTGTTTAGTGCGAACCGAGCGTAGGTGTTCCGCAAAGCGGTCCCCAAGCCTCCACTTGGTTTCCCCGACGTAGAGGAGGCCACATCTGGAACAGCGGATACAGTATGCCACATTAACAGATGTGCAGGTGAACATCTGCTTGATGTGGAAGGTCTTCTTGGGACCTGGGATGGGGGTGAGGGGTTGGTATAGGGGCAGGTGTAGCACTTCCTGTGGTTGCAGGGAAAAGTGCCGGGTGTGGTGGGGCTGGAGGGGAGTGTGGAGCGGACAAGGGAGTCACGGAGAGAGTGGTCCCTCCAGAAAGCAGATAAGGGTGAGGAAGGAAAAATGTCTTTGGTGGTGGGGTCGGATTGCAGATGGCGGAAGTGTCAGAGGATGATGCGTTGGATCTGGAGGTTGATGGCATTTTTGCAGGAAGGTGGGTGAGAGGAGGTGTATTCCACGTAGCTGTGGGAGTCGGTGGGCTTGAAATGGATATCGGTTTCCAGGTGGTACGTGAGGACGAGGGGGATTCTGTTTTGGTTGTTATTGCGGGGAGTGGGTGTGAAGGATGAGTTGCGGGAAATGCGGGAGACACGGTCGAGGGCGTTCTCGACCACTGAGTGGGGGAGGTTGCGGTCCTTGAAAAACGAAGACACCTGAGATGTTCGGGAGTGGAATGCCTCATCCTGGGAGCAGATGCGGCGGAGGCGAAGGAATTGGGAATAGGGGATGGCATTTTTGCAGGAAGGTGGGTGAGAGGAGGTGTATTCCATGTAGCTGTGGGAGTCGGTGGGCTTGAAATGGATATCGGTTTCCAGGTGGTTGCCAGAGATGGAAACAGAAAGGTCCAGGAAGGAGAGAGAGGTATCAAAGATGGTCCAGGTGAACTTAAGGTTGGGGTGGAAGGTATTGGTGGAGTGGATGAACTGTTTGAGCTCCTCATGGGAGCACGAGGCGGCGCCGATACAGTCATCGATGTAACGGAGGAAGAGGTGGGGTTTAGGGCCAGTGTAGCTACGGAAGAGGGATTGTTCCACGTAACCTACAAAGAGGCAGGCATAGCTTGAGCCCATGTGTGTACCCATGGCCACCCCCTTTGTCTGTAGGAAGTTGGAGGAATTGAAAGAGAAGTTGTTAAGGGTGAGGACGCGTTCAGCTAAGTGGATGAGGGTGTCAGTGGAGGGGGACTGGTGGGGCCTGCGGGACAGGAAGAAGCGGAGGGCCTTTAGGCCATCTGCATGGGGAATGCAGGTGTATAGGGACTGGATGTCCATGGTAAAGGTGAGGTGTTGGTGACCAGGGAATTGGAAGTTTTGGAGGAGGTGGAGGGTGTGGGTGGTGTCACGGACGTAGGTGGGGAGTTGCTGGACCAAGGGGGAGAAAATGGAGTCAAGATAAGTAGAGATAAGTTCGGTGGGACAAGAGCAGGTGGAGACAATGGGTTGACCAGGGCAGTAAGGTTTGTGGATTTTGGGAAGGAGATAGAAGCGGGCGGTGCAGGGTTGGGGAACGATGAGGTTGGAGGCTGTGGGTGGGAGGTCACCTGAAGTGATGAGGTTGTGGATAGTTTGGGAGATGGTGTTTTGGTGGTCAGGGGTGGGGTCATGATCAAGGGGGTGGTAGGAGGAGGTGTCAGAGAGCTGGCAATGTAGAGGTCAGTGTGCCATACTACAACTGCGCCTCCCTTGTCTGCAGGTTTTATACTGAGGTTCGGATTGGAGCGGAGGGAGTGGAGGGCTGTACGTTCTGTGGGGGAGAGGTTGGAGTGAGTGAGAGGGTTGGAGAGGTTGAGGCAATTGATGTCTCGACGGCAGTTGGAGATGAAGAGGTGGAGGGAGGGTAGGAGGCCTTGGGGTGGTGTCCAGGAGGAGGGGGTGTGTTGGTGGCGGGAGAAGGGGTCAGTAGAGGGAGGGTTAGGCTCATGGTTAAAGAAATAAGCGCGGAGGCGGAGGCGATGGAAAAAGTGTACAGCATTCAAGCGTGAGCGGTATTCGTTGATGTTAGGGTGGAGGGGGACAAAGGTGAGCCCTTTATTGAGGACTGACTGTTCGTCCTCAGTAAGGGGGAGGTCTGGGGGGATGGTGAAGACTCGGCAGGGCTGGGTGCTACTGTCTCCTCTCGAGCTGCTGGCTGTGGAGGTGGTGGGCGGAGCGATGTCGGCGTTGGTGGTGGGCGGAGCGGCGTCGGTGGTGGGCGGAGCGGCGTCGGTGGTGGGCCGTGCACTGTCAGCAGTGGGCAGAGTGGCATCAGTGTCGGCGGAGTGATGTCGGTGGAGCAGGGTAGGCGGTGGGAGGAGCGGAGTCGGTCTGTAAGTCCTGGATGTTGGTTGCGGCGGCAGCAGCAGTGTCAGCAAGTGTGTCCTCGATGTCTGTGGTGTTGGCCTCGGAAACAGAGGCAGTGGCATCAGCAGTGGTGTCGATGGCGTTCGCTGTACCGGAAGTGGCGTACCCGGCAGCGGCGGATGTGGTGTCATCCGTGGGTGCTCCGACAGTGACCACATGGCCAATGGCAGCGGGCACATTGTGGGGAAGGTCCTGGGTAGGGTTGGGGATTTGGGGGGTGGAGGAGGCCTGTGTTGGGTGGCAGGCACCAGTAAGTTTACTGTACTTACGGTTTTTAGTGTCCAATAAAGCCGAGTAGAATTGTGAGTTCAGGTTGTGGATCCTGCGAAGAATGAAAAACAGGAGAGGTCCTTTGCAGGCCTGGGAGAGGGAGGCTCTACCCATGGCTAATCCATTTAGCCTGCACACTATGGGCAATTTAGCACAACTAATCCACCTATCTTGCACATCTTTGGACGAAGTACATGGATTTAAAATTTTGGGCAAAAGATTCAGGGCGAATGTGAGGAAAAATGTTTTTACAAAGTGATAGAACTCACTGCCCACAAAAGTGGTAGAAACAGAATCAATTAATGCTTTCAAAATGCAACTGGAGGAAATAAACTTGTTGGGCTGCAGAGACTAAGCAGGCCTTTGGTACTGACTGGATTGCTCCACAGGCAAATGCGTGGACTCGATAGACAACCTGTGCTCTAAATGACTCTTGACTTTAAGCAAAAATATGTTAAGCAATTGCAGATTGAATGACGGTATGCCTGTGTGCACTGATTTATTCTGTGACTAATTTCTTACAGATGAATAGTTTTGACACGGATCAATGGTGCAAGACTGATCAATTGCTTGTTGTATTTCCTGACCAATCTTCATATCTACAATTAAGAATGTACCTAATCATGGACTTTTACAGCATAAAAGTTTTCTATATTTTGTTGTTACTTTTCTTCCCTTTCTGCAGCTGAGAATGTGGCCAAAAAATGGAATATTAGTCGAGAAGAACAGGACAAGTTCGCTGTACAATCCCAGAGAAGGACTGAGAGGGCACAAAAAGCAGGATTTTTTGACAAGGAAATCGTACCCGTCTCTGTCCCATCAAGAAAAGGTATCGGTGTGATCCCACATGAACAAGTTGTGAAATCTTCAACATTGATCTTGGTTAGCTTTACTTTTTGGGTGGAAGAATAGGAGAGGTGGTTTTGGTCTCTACCAGGTAACTTCAGCCTTCTTCTGAGAATGTTAATATTGGGGGTAATGATTGTATGGTCTTTCATTTGTCAGCCTTAACAGTTTATGCCACATGTTATTTGATTGTGGAGAGAACACTTCAACCAAGCCAGCCAAATAGGTCGTCCTTTCTAAGCGTTCAAGTACATTTGCACTTCCAGCAGCAACCACTGCATTGCAGTTAGTGGCTGAACCTTTCCCTTAACTCAAAAACACCAGGATCAATTGCATCAACAAGATTACTGTGAAAGTGTAGAATGAACTGAGGGCAGCTGAACATTGAAGCCAAATGTCATAGAATCACAGAGCCATGCAATACAGAAACAGAACCTTTGGTCCAACCCATCCATGCCGACCAAGTTTCCCAAACCAAACTAGTCCCATTTGCCCTATCCCTCTAAACCTTTCCAATCATGTACTTCTCCAAATGTCTTTTAAATGTTGTAACTATACCTGCATCTACCACTTCCTCTGGCAGTTCATTCCACATATCGACCACCCTCTCTATAACCTCTCAGATACCTTTCTGGTGGCCTGACACTCTCACTGTTAAGGCACAAAACATCTTGTGCATCACATATCCACTGATGAATGCTCCAATGCTTACCATGCCCAACATCAGGACATGCACGCACTGAAAAACTAAAGTTCAACGCAACATAGGTATAATAATATTTGCAAAATCATAGAAACCCCAGCTCTACAATCTTTTTGTGCCCTTCTTAAAACATTTCTGAATACTGAGGTGATGGGTGCCCGGAGTAACTGCCAGTGACTTGGATGCCAGCTGCTGGTCTGTATGCCCTGCAAACATTAAAGAGATTGGTGGGCATCCTCAGGCTGCCTAAAGTCTGGAGGGGGCCATAGCAACTAGATGTGTTGGGGTAACTGCTGCTGGAACAGAATGGGTGAGTGGTAGGTGGAGTGGGGAGCTACTGTCAGCTCTTACAGTACTATGACGAATGAACAAATGAAAAAGTACAGCACAGGAACAGGCCCTACGGCCCTCCAAGCCTGTGCCGACCATTATGCCCTAATTCATCTAAAAACAAACCTGCCATTTTTCAATCCATATCCCTTTATTCCCTCCCTATTCATGTGCCCATCGAGGTGCCTCTTAAATGTCTTCAATGTGCCCACTTCCACCACCTCTTCTGGTAGTGCATTCCAGGCTGCTACCACTCTCTGTGTGAAAAACTTCCCTTGCAGTACAGTGGCTCAGTGGTTCGCACTGCTGCCTCACAGTGCTAGGGACCCGGGTTCAATTCCAGCCTCGGGAGTCTGCCAGTGTGGAGTTTGCACATTCTCCCCGTTTCCTCAGGGTGCTCTGGTTTTCTCCCACAGTCCAAAGATGTGCATGGTAGGTGGATTGGCCATGCTAAATTGCCCATCGTGCCCAGGGATGTTTAGGTTAGGTGGGTTTAACATGGGAAATCAGGGATAGGATAGTGGGCCTGGGTGGGATGCTCTTCAGAGGGCCGGTGTGGACTTGTTGGGCCGAATGGCCTGTTTCCACACAGTAGTGATTCTATGATTCTAATTCCAGTCGTCCCATCCTGCCAATCAAGCAAAGAACTGCTTATGCATAGATTGGTTGTGTAAAAAAGAAAAAGAACAGAAAAAAGAAAACAATCTCCCTTAAACTTTTCCCCCTCCGACCTTGAACCTGTGCCCCTGGTAATTGAAACTTCAACCCTGGGGAAAAGCTTCTGACTATCCACCTTATCTATGCCTCTCATAATTTTGTACACCTCTATCAGGTCTCCTCTCAGCTGCCATCTTTCCAGTGAAAATAATCCTAGTCTTTTTAACCTTTCCTTATAGTCAATGCCCTGGAGACCAGACAACATTCTGGTGAGATAGTAGGAACTGCAGATGCTGGAGAATCTGAGATAACAAGGTGTAGAGCTAGATGAACACAGCAGGCCAAGCAGTATCATAGGAGCAGGAAGGCTGAAGAAGGGTCTAGGCCCGAAACGCCAGCCTTCCTGCTCCTCTGATGCTGCTTGGCCTGCTGTGTTCATCCAGCTCTACACCTTGTTATCTAACATTCTGGTGAACCTTCTTTGTACTCTATCCAAAGCTTCGACATCCTTCAGGTAGTGTGGTGACCAAAACTGCACACAATACTCCAAATGCAGCCTAACAAGGGTTTTATATAGCTGCAACATGTTTTGCCAACTCTTGTACTCCACGCCTGGGCAATAAAGGCAAGCGTGCCATATGCCTTCTTAATCACCTTGGCTATCTGTGTTGCCACTTTCAGGGAACTGTGGACCTGTACGCCTAGATCTGTCTGAATGTTAGTGCTTCTAAGGGTTCTGCCATTTACAATATAATTCACACCTAAATTTGATCCTTCAAAATGCATCACGTCGCATTTGTCTGGATTAAACTCCATCTGCCATTTCTGTGCCCAAGTCGCCAATCATCTCTGTCCTGTTGTGTACTTTCACAATCATTGGCAGAATCAGCAACTCTGCCAATCTTCATGTCATCAGCAAACTTGCTTATCAGATCATCCACATTTTCCTCCAGATCGTTTATATATAGGACAAAGAACAGATGACCTAAGACTGAACCCTGTGGAACACCACTAGTTACCAGTATCCATTCTGAAAAACATCCTTCCACCACTACCCTCTGTCTTCTATGACCAAGCCAGTTTTCTATCCATCTAGCCAGGCCACCCCGAATCCCTTGTGATTTTAGTTTTTGTACTAACCTGCCATGTGGGACTTTATCAAATGCCTTACTAAAGTCCATTTAAGCTACATCCACAGTCCTTCCCTCATCAATTATCCTCATTACCTCTTCAAAAAATTCAATCAGGTAGGTGAGACATGACCTTCCCCAGACAAAACCATGCTGCCTATCACTAACTAGTCCACTTTCCTCCAAATGCGCATATATCTTGTCCCTCACTATCTTCTCCAAGAGCTTTCCCACCATAGACATCAAGTTCACCGACCTATAGTTTCCTGGATTATCCCTGCATCCTTTCTTAAATAAGGGAACAACATTCATTAATCTCCAGTCCTCTGGAACTTCACCTGTGGTCAATGAGGATGTGCAGATATCTGCCAATGCCCCAGCTATTTCCTCCCTTGCCTCTCTGAGTAACCTGGGGTAGATCCCATCTGGTCCTGGGGACTTGTCCATCTTAATGCAATTTAGGATTCCCAAAACTTCCTGAATCAATATGTTGACATTCTCTAGAGTATTCACACACTCATCCCTGACCTCAACATTAGTCAGAGATAGTAAGAGCTACCGAGTCAGAGATAACACAGTGTAGAGCTGGAGGAGCACAGTAGGCCAGGCAGCATCAGAGGAGTAGGAAGGTTGACGTTTCGGATTGGGACCCTTCTTCAGAAATGGGGGAGGGGGAAGGGAACTCTGAAATAAATAGCGAGAGGAGGGTGGGGCTGGGGAATGTAGGTGGGATGGTGATAGGTGAGTGCAGGTAGGCAGTGGTGGGGATTGGTCAGTGAGCTGGGAGGAGCGGATAGGTGGGAGAGAAGACGGGCAGGATGTGTCAGGTCATGGAGGTGGGGATGAGAAGGAGGGTTGGTCATGGGATGAGGCCAGGGGTGGGGAGATTTTGAAACTAGTAAATTCCACATTGAGACCATTGGGTTTAGGCTCCCAAGGCGGAATATGAGGCGCTGCTCCTCCAGTTCCCGGATGTGTCATTGTGACACTGGAGGAGGCCCAGGATGGACATGTCACTCAGGGAGTCAGAGAGGGAGTTGAATTGGTTCCCGACCGGAAGTTGTTGTCGTTTGTCGTGAACAGAGTGCAGGTGCTCTACAAAGCGATCTCCGAGCCTCCACTTGGTCTCACCGATGTAGAGGAGGCCAAATCGGGAGCAGCAGATGCAGTAGACCACGTTGATAGATGTGCAGATGAACCTCTGTCTGATGTGAACGGTTTGTTTGGTGCCTTGAATGGAGGTGAGGGGCAAGGTGTAGAGGCAGGTGTAACACTTCCTGCGGTTGCAGGGAAAGGTGCTGTCTGTGGTGGGGCTAGTGGGGAGTGTGGAGCGGACGAGGGAGTTGTGGAGAGCGCGGTCCCTATGAAAGGCAGATGGGGTGGTGACGGAAATATATAATTGGTTGTGGGTTTGCATAGGGGGTGGTGGAGAATGATACATTGAATACGGAGGTTAGTGGGGTCATATGTGAGGACATGGGGGATTGTGTCTTTGTTTTTGTTGGAGGGAGGGGATGTGAGGGCAGAGGTGCGGGAAACGCAAGAGATGCGGTCGAGAGCATTTTTGACCACCAAAGGGGGGAAGTTGCAGTCCTTGAAATAAGAGGACATCTGGGATGTACGAGACTGGAACGCCCCATCTTGGGAGCAGACATGGGCGGAGGCTGGGGATTGGGAGCAGGGGATTGCATTCTTTCAGGAAGGTGGGTGAGGAGAGGTGTAGTGTAGGTAGTTGTGGGAGTCGGTGGGCTTGAAATAGGTGTCAGTTTCGAGACGGTCACCAGAGATGGAGACAGAGAAGTCCAGGAAGGAGAGAGAGGTATTAGAGATGGTCCAGGTGAATTTGAGTTTGGGGTGAAAGGTGTTAGTAAAGGTGATGAACCGTTCAAGCTCCTCGTGGGAGCACAAGGCAGTGCTAATACAGTCATCGATGTAGCGGAGGAAGAGGTGGGGGCTAGTGCCAGTGTAGCAGCGGAAGAGGGACTGCTCCACGTATCCTATGAAGAGGTAGGCATAGCTTAGGCCCATGCGGGTTCCCATGGCAACCCCCTTAGTCTGTAGGAAGTGGGAGGAGTTAAAGGAGAAGTTGTTAATGGTAAGGACAAGTTCAGTTAAGTGGATGAGGGTGTTGGTGGAGGGGGCTTGGTTGGGCCTGCGGGAGAG